CACTCGCTCAGTCGAATTTTCTATCAAAGACGCAAGCGAGCGTCGCCGACGCGATTCTGGTCTCGCGTAATTCCTGGAAAACAGGGGGGGGGGGTGTCGCAGTGATAAACTCGACAAGGTCGCGCATGAGGCACGGGAAGCGACAACCCCGTTGTCGGAACGACGTGTCCAGGATCATTAATCAGCGTAACGCTCCGCTAGCAGCCGATGGAGCCGTAAAGATCGTGGTCGTTTTGCACTTAAACAGACATTGTGCCGTTGTCAGGGGAGAGGACAGGGAATGTGGTGTTAGTTCGCGTGGTGCCGGCGAGGCAGTCGTGGATACATTTATTCACTGACGAGCCAAGTAATTGCAACTTTCGCATGAGCGGCGAAACATGGCGAGAGGCAAGGCGGTGCAGGCTGAGACCGAGTCACGCGCGAGAACACCGTTTCTCTCTTCAACGTCGAACGCCGCTTTTTTTCTTTCCTATCAACGGCCACAGCCGCAACATACTCGGCTGTTTGATTATAAATGTATAATACCCCTGATGCACCGATAAATTATCAAAATGCGCTCGTAGCAATATATAGGGCGAATCATTACGCGCGGCGATAAATTATTTTGTCAGGCAAGGTATTCACGCGAACCAGTATGGAAAATGCGACGTGTTTTGTCCATCGTTCGCGGGAACAAAAATTTTGATGTTCATGGGTACAATTTATGGGATTAAAATCTCGCCGATGGTATCGATATCACACGTGCACAAATACGTTTTCAAGTAAGAACCGATAGAGAAAGGATGAACCTCTGGGTAGAGACACGTTATCACATTTATCTTGGCGTGATCTTTCGAAGGTAAACATGCCTATTACGAGTTTTTGTCATGCCTCGCGCTTCGTATCAAAACATTAAATATCTTGTTAACTCGTTGAGCAATAAATCGCCGTGCAAATTGTGAAAAAAGAAAATAGCGTGTCATAAAGTATCCTCAATCTCGCGGAAACTATCTAAGTGAAATGTTAGATAAGTTACGAGCAGGTCTTCTAAAATTTTCAGAAATACGAGCAAGAAAATAAAGATACAATCGCCGCTGTTGCATTGCCGTTTATCGCTTTTATCTCTAAAGCAGCCGGCAAACGCATAAACGTTTGTGTTGGCGTTTCACCTCGTTAATTAATTCGACATCTGTATGCTTAATATCGCCGAACGGTCTCGATAGGCGTCGGGTGAATTTACCAGAAATCAGTTGCTCATGATCCGGCACTCGTGCACCGTATCGAGGGAGAAATGGTGTCAGGAATCCGCTGGTATCGCGGAGAATTCAGTGAACCTGCAACTGCCATATGCTTCTCGGAGTACGTTGGAACCTTACCGATATCCGTACCTGCTAACGTTCTGAGAGCGCATTCATGAAAGCACCATATGTGTTGTCGATTAGGCTATGGGTAGCAACCCCACATGGTCCTTCATGAAGGTGTATACACGCATAAATTCCCTCCCTCGACCCCTCTAGGTCGAGTGCTACCTGTACATTATTGTAGCACACATGTCAGCCGGTAGTGAAATGCCGACACACAGAAATCGATATTTTCAAGGCAGACCTGTACGTATGCACGACGTACATCTTGTATACATTTGCATATTTCTGTTTTGCATATTATTATATTAAACAAGTTTTTCTCTGTGTAGTACCAGGGGGTTAACAACCTATTCTTTTCTGCTGCACGTGTTTGCTAATGTAGTAGGTCGTCCCAAAAATTTCTCTCGTTTTATAGATACACTACAATATTTTATGTTTCATGTCATTGGATTATATACGATTTATTTTGATTTATTCCCACCCTTCGTCATCTTTTTTACAACTTCGGTGGTTTGCTAGACCGCGAAAGAAACTTCTGGAACAGCCTAACATAATAAAAGAAGCACTTCAAAGGCTCAATCAGAAGGTTTCGTATACGTGAAACGCACAATTTACTTTGGGAATATCTGCTTAATGAGCTTTTTTCATCGGTTAATTAGCCAGCATTTTCATTAACCGCAACACAGAAAAGTTGATTCTTATCGACCTCGACAAGCCTCGTTCAACCACGAGAAAAATCTGGTTATAAAGCACATCGATTATAGCAACGATATCTAGTATTGATCATGTGTAAGGCAAGACATGATCATTTATATTCATATCTATTATTATTATCATCATCATCATCGTATATAAAAATGTACAAACATTATTTAATATAATTTTCAGCGTAGTTACGATAATTCATTACATTCATACACGACAATCTTGAATGAAAACAGAGTAATATACGCATGCGACAGTGTAGCAATATGATCTCAAATTGTAAGAACTATATATTTAAAAAAAAAAGGAAAGAAGCAAGAGGAAAGATATCCATTCAACAAACTACAACGACTTTAATCTCTATGATCAGTTATAACGATGATATCAGGTTCTAGGATAGTGCTGGCGGCAAAAAAAATCTGAATCATATCTAATACCAAGACAGAGAATCAACGTGATGCAAGGGTTAAAATAAGAAATCAAAGGTGGTTGGCCCGTGGCATCGCTCATCCCGCCACTCGGAGTTGTAATTAATTTCACGATAATTAGCGGCGATGTGGCCAGCTAGCCTGGCCGTTGTAGTTCAAGAATATAATTACGGTATAAATTTTTCAACCAAAGTTCCAAGGTTCTCGATAATATCGGACAAATGAGAAAGTCTAGATGTATATTGAGAAAATTATTGTTCAAATTTGCCAGCGACTGCCAGACATTATTTTTATAATAATGAAATAATAAAATCATGTGAAAGAGAATCTGCCGTTCGAGCAGAAATTTTTTGCAATAAAGTTGCAGATGCAACATGTTAATACCTTTTCGCCATAAGCAGAGAAAATTAGTACTTTTACTTGGCGTAACGGGATCGCGATTGATCCAGATTCAAAGGGGCGGTATGTTTCTTGAAACTGGTTGCCATACCAAGTGAAGCTCTACGAACGACGTTAATGATAGGACGTGCAACTCTGCGGTTGAAAATTTGTCACGTAGTGAGAATTTGTCACGAGCAACTTCGAAAAGTGCCTGGCAACTTCGTAAATCTTTGCTGAAATATTCATCAAATATTCTTTTTTTTTTTTTTTTTAATGATAAAATTATATAATTAATAACTTTAGCAAGTCTTGCACAAAATAACTCGCACGTATTTGTCGAAAATCGAAAAAAAAAAAAAAAAACTGAGAAAACTAGATAATACACGAGTCTGGATATATATCGTGAAATTGATGCAACGTGTTTGGTCTTATCGTGCGTTATCAACAAAAGTTATAACGCGAGTGTATCCGGGATACAACTTAGTTTAAAGCGTCAAAGCATTCTTTATCTGTCGAAATCCAACGTCGGACGACATTCGGACATCGGATATTTATCACAGGCCCGGCGCACGCTCCACGCGCAGCCAGAACGTCCAGTGGCCCTCGAGTGGTCCCTTACGCGCCGCTTTTTCAACAGAGAAAAAGATAGACACGCATAGACTGAAAGGGAACGATAGGGGGAAAGAGACGGGGAGAGAAAAGAGGGAGACAGAACGTCGGTAAAAGAAGAAAAAAAAAAAAAAAGAAGGAGAAGAAGGAAAGGAACAGGGCATATACCTGTTCCACACGTGAGCACATATATACGCATTGCACACGAACATACGCGTCCACGCGCGCACATCCTCCCCTTAAGCACGAGGCCCCGCAAGCACGCGTGCGCTCTAGTACACGCACGCACGCACGCACGCACGCACGCATGCACGCACGCATGCACGCACGTACGCGCACGCTTCGTACGTAGCGGATGAAACGAAACGTTTGTTGGAGGGGAGAAAGTGGATGGATGGGGGTCGGCGCGCGCCACGACGCGAGGGTGGGGAGAACGGCTCACGTCTTCCACCCCCTGCCCTCTTCGCCACCATCAGTATGCTCAGAACGCTGCTGCCTCCAACTTCCCTGCCTCCATTCGGGCCCACATATCCTGCATGTACCCCCTTTACTCCACTCGCGCGGCCAGTACCTTCTTTCCAACGTAGCTTCTCTTCAGCCGCCACCCCCTCCTCCTATCTCTCCTCTTGCTTCGTCCTCTTCGCCGTCGCATCTCCCTTTTCTTTCTCTCCATGACTCCTCTCGTTTCGACTCGCACGTAGTATGCGCACGTATCTCTCTCGGCCAGCTTGTTCGGCCTCTGGACCAGCTTTTCTTTCTCCCGGTATATAACTGTTCAAATTTCGATCCCTGAGACACCGGCCAAGTCGGTGGGGATGGTGGACCCTTCTTGCGTGCGTGCCCAGTGTTTCTCACGCACGCACCGAATTTTCGGGCGATCGTTTCGGCAAGATGAGAATGCTCTCCGATTCGAGAACACGCACATCAACGAAAGGGATATCTTAATACCGTGCCACGTCGAATTTCGAATGGCTAGGAGCTGACGCATCGATCAAACGTTCAGCGATGATTGGCCGAATGCGTCTGACCAATTTGTATTCGTGATCGATGTCATTTTATTTATCAGAAAGAAATACAAGTTGAAACCAACGAGACAATTCTCTTCCGTTTAATTGGCAACAGCTTCGATTTACGCAACCGAGTATTACGCGAACGATAACTTGGCGTGTCAACAATATTATTTGTAGACGTATTATGGAAATACATTTTCGAACCAGCTTAAGCGCATGGCTGAAATAGGTTGCCGACTGCAACTTCCGAGAAACGAGAGCCGCAAGTTAAGTTATCTAGTCGATAACGACGAAGGGTATCATCTTTAAATATCCAAATCAGCAAATAGGTTCGAACAAGACACGCAAAAGCACGAGGGCGATTCACGGAGATGAGAATCTCGGGCGTTGTAGGGCCTATGGATCGGCAGTGGTGGGGGACGTACAGGGGTATGAGGCGCTGCAAGCCAGTAGGGTGGGAAAGAGAGGGAGAAGATGGGGGTTTAGGGCCCGAGATCGAGTATGAGGCCCAGTGGAGGGGATAGGCGCGTGCCCGCCCTGGCTATATAAGGCCTGGAACCCTTCTTAGTAAAGCATTTCGGAAGACAAGTCCGTACCGTCAGTATCGAGGGTGCGGTGTCATTTTCAATTTTCTTAGCTCACGTAATCGCAATTGCCTCGTCTCGAGCTCGCGTTTCATTAATTTCGTTTTCTTTTGCATTCGCTGGATGCGTCGCGCCATATTCAACCACGGTGCGGTAGAAGAAGGGGAATCTGGAGTTGGAGAGAGAGAGAGAGAGGGAGAGAGAGAGAGAGAGGCAGAGAGGGTTAACCGTCACAGTATTTGATTTTCACAAACCAAGTATTTTGAAGTACCTCGAAGATTTTATTTCTCAAGGTCACCCGGCACGCGCTGCCGCGCACTCCTGCTCTCGTGGTGGGGGTATCGAATCAGTGATATGACCTTAGTGGGATCGAAGGAGGAGAACGTATTGCCCATCATGCTGAGCGTACAGCAACAGCATCATCATCACAATCTTCACGGTTCCTCGGCGTCCAGTGCACAAACTCATCGCAGCAATGTGATTGTTTCCACCAGCAGCATGCCGTCAAACGACATCAAGATCCAGCAACACGGTTGCAAGCGATCGAAGATTTACGGCCAGGCGACCGGCCCTTACGGCACCGTTCCTCATCAACCGGCCTCGGTCGCCAGGCGAAACGCCCGGGAACGAAATCGTGTTAAGCAGGTGAACAATGGATTCGCCACTTTGAGGCAGCACATACCACAGAGCGTGGCGCAAGCACTCGGAGGAAGTACGGCTGGCACGCACGGCGGATCCAGAGCGGGTAGTAAAAAACTGTCCAAGGTCGAAACGCTTAGGATGGCGGTCGAGTACATCAGAAGTCTGCAGCGTCTTTTGGAAGAGCACGACGGTGGTTCGGATGTCACGAGTGTGTCTTCGCCGACGTCGTCGCCTCCTTCCTCCACCTCCTCCGCCTCGTCCACGTGTAGTTCTAGCAACGGCATCAGCGTCGAGTCTAATCATCATTCGCCCGAGTTGAGACTTCGCGGTAACGTCAGCAACGAGCTTCGGCACCACAGCAGCTCGGACATACATCGGCATCAACACTTGCGACAAAATCCCAGCCCGACTTTCGTCCCGACACCCTGCTCCGAAGCCTCCAGTTCGCCAACGCCGAGTTTCGTTTCTGAGGCGTCATCGGCTGGTAGCCAGGGCTACGGGACATCGGGCACCCTTTATACCGCGCACTCTGATGGTTACGACAATTACGAACCCATGAGTCCGGAAGACGAGGAGCTGCTGGACGTCATCTCCTGGTGGCAACAAAGTCAATGAGAAAAAATCCAGTGTCCACATCGGTTCCTAGTTGCGTCTGTCCTTCACTTCAGAGGTTTGTGTCATAATTTTGTTCTTTCGGTATTTGTTTTTGGTTGAAGTTACAATTTCACGACAGAATTCTGCAACGTAGAATATTCGAGATGCCGAAATCGACTCAACGAAATAATATTTGTTCATTTTTAATTGTACTAACGTGTCAACCCACATGTTATTATTAACAGTTCAGCGATCGTGGAATCCAAACGAAAGATAAAATGCTCTCCTTCTGTTACAGTCGACCGCTAATTAGTAAACAATCATTGTTACTATCGTTCACTGTTCCTTAATGTGATTATATTTGTCGTTTATTATTTCCTGAAAAAAAAAAGAATCTCTAAAAAGAGAAGCGTTGCGTCACATTGGAGATTCTTTTTTTTTTTCTTTCTTTTCTTCTAAAAGTTTCTCACCTCCCTCGCTTCTCAACGACCGTAAATTTTAGCCCGTGAGGTAACATCCGCGTTACCGAGAAAGTTCAAAGAAATTTCCGAACAGATTTGTGACCTTGCCCCGTCACAATGGCGCGCGCGACCCCTCGCTGAAACTCCAGCCATTCAAATCGCAGACTCCATTCAGAGGGGCACTGAGTATACATTCTAGAAGCGACGCTTTTGTGCCCGATTTCTTTCAATGTGTACTAACACGCGTGTCACCACCCCGTGTATGTGTGTGCCGGTCCTTCTACCGTTTTTTTTCTTTTTTTTTTTTTTCATCCCTTCTCGCTCTTCAACTTTCAGAGTCGTCGAATTCGCCTCCTCTGAAAATTTTGCCACCTTCTGCGAGAGCTTTACAACGTCCCATTCGGAGTTTGAACATCCAATTCCCGCAGTCTTCTTTTCTTTCGACCATTTTTCTCATAATGGCTCATGATCGTTTCCAAACCCAATTCCTGTCCACGTGTAATTTCTCTGACGTTCAGCCAGAATACGCATCATCGATGAATACTACAAAGAAAACTCTACAAATGGTACAATCTGAATTGACAGAATTTCTATTTCTGGATTTTCGGCAAATTTAGGATTCCAAAGGCTTACGCAGATCGCGTGATAATGTCCAAAATAAGACACTTGTGTTACTTACGATGAAACTGATATCTATTGAGATTTCAGTTGTTTCACATGAATTGCATAAATACTTACAGTTTCAGTCATTACAAATTTAATTAATTATTAAACAAATAGTCAAATATATATTATCTTCGCAGACGTTGAACGCAGAAAGAAAATCGTCTATCCAAATTCCACTCTAATCTTGATGGACGTAACTTTTCTTGACGTTCTCCTCCGAGGCTTCTAACGTTTCTTCCCGCAGATTTTTTTCTTCTTCTTTTGCCTTTTATCTTGCTCTGTTTTTCCAGCTCCTTTCCTCTCTATCTTTCTATTAACAATCTCTCTTTCTTTCTATCTTTCTCTCTCTCTCTCTCTCTCTCTCTCTCTCTCTCCCTCTCTGACAGGAGACGATTTCGTCTGCTGCGTTTAACCTGAATGCATCTTTCAGGATATTCCAGTCCCCCTTTTGTGGATTTTTGAACCGGTACGCTATTCTTCCGTCCTTCTCTCTTTCTATCTGTTCTCCTCTCTCTCTCTCTCTCTCTCTCTCTCTCTCTCTCTCTCTCTCTCTCTTCTTGAGCATCTCCTTCGATTTGTTCTTCTTCGCTCCACTCGTGAAGAGAGCGAGTCCTTTCCACTAAAACTGCCCTTACCTGAAATCATCCCCTGCTTCTCTTACTTGTATACCTGTAGTGTCTCCTTACCCGACATTCCACGGTCCCGATTTCTTTGGGAATAAATTCATAAACAGGCACCGCATGATTTTCGTCGATATCGATAATTTCACCTGAAGATGAAACTCCTCAGGATCGAAATAAAAATAACTCTCGTCAGTCAAGTCAAAATCTGGTAAAATTCATGTTGAATGGTACAGACTAGTGGAATCAGTATTAAGTAGCAATGTTTTCGATTATATAACACGGAAGAGGGAAATGTCGAATTGAAAAATCAATTTTCAAGATACGGAAGCATTTGATCATTCGATAGACGGTAATTTCCATTTCATTTCTTCAGCGTGGTAGGTAAATCGAACCCTTTGAATTTTGTGTGAAAGATTGGTTTGTTTCTATGTTGCAGAAGTGAACGAGATGGAGATACACGTGGCGAGAAGGAGAAATGGACAAAAGGAAACGATAACCGGCTGTTCTATGCTGTATAATCTAGTCATTCCTACCGATATTGTACGAATGTAATAATAGGATTCGTTTCTCGTTCGTTTTAAATTAGGGGTTAGATTAGAGTTGAGATACTTGCATCTGGCCTTCCACGTACAAAACAGATTGCCGAATAGTAAATGTGAAAATTTAGCAAATATATTTACAGTAAAGGTGTATGGAAAAATTTCTGTCTTGACAATTAAGAAGGATCGAAACAAAATGCTCGAACTCAAATGATCCTATCCTCAAAGGCATTCCACAGTGCCTTTTTAGGAATTGTTGATGTTTGATAGAGAAAGTTTAACTGCCTCCATGCTTCAGGTTTCATCCTTAAAAGAATGTTATGTCGCGGTATAAAAGAAGGATTCGATGAAGGATACGTTTATTACTCGAAGAACTATTTTGAATTTTTGAACTGTTAAAAATTTTATAAATGTTACAGATGTTGCAAAATGTTAATGATATGATGTCGAACTTAACAGAGGAACAAAATATTTATATCGATTCGCGCAATAATTTAAACATCTTCAAACAATGAAAGACAAATATTCAGCTCTAATAATTATTGTAGTAATATTGTAAATAATGTACATAGGAAGTGAGATTGAAACGAACAAATTGTATTCCAGTGGTCTAAGATTACGTCGAAAAATTTTTATCAAGCTCGTGCCTTTATTGTAAATAAAGAATATCTCGTTAAAAATATATTGAACATCGTTATAGATAATATCGAATACGGGTCTCGTTTTATTTTCCTATAATATGTTTCACTATGTTTATAGTAAGTATCGTACTAATTGTAATTTATATATCGTACTGTTTCTATAAAAAAGCCTTTCTGTGATTAGTTAAACATTTAATACTAATAATTGAATTGATAACAATAATAATAAAATAAAGAATTTAATATATTTAATATAGTAGTAGGGGCCGATTCCTAAATGCATATGCATATTTTGAATGATAAATCTACGTAATAAAATACGTAAGAAATATCATATAAATCTATTCTCTACACCTTAGTTTTCGAGTTATGAATGATTGAAGAAGATGTTCAATATGTCAATCTTGTGCCTTAGCACATGCTGTTATAGTATCCTAAAATTTTATCCCGTGTTTACAAAAAATATCTATCGATATGAGTTAAAAAAACCTTGTTCATTAAAATTTTATTGGTAAATAATGTGCACGATCTACAAGGAAGGATTCAGAATGGATTTGAGACTATTCGAAACTTGCTGTTTTGAAATTTCAAATATGTTTCAGAATTTAATTTCGTTAAACAGCAGAAGAATTAATGTAGATTTGCTACTTAAAATATGGACATGCATTTAAGAATCAACCAATGTATAGTAACGTGCGGGAAGGTAATACTCTAATAAAGAACGAAACAAAAGCTGATATTTCCCTCTACTCCAGATAACCCCACCTGCAATAATATATTTACAAATAGATGCAACTACAAACTAAAAAACCAAAGTTACCAATTCCATTCTATGCAAAAATTGCCAAGTATACCACTCTTGCTGAAATTACATCGACACCAACCATTCCACGAAAACACGACCATTCACAAGAAAACAGCTCCCTGGATTTTAAAAATCCCTGAAACTAATGTTGACTTCGTAAAATGTCCCAAAGATCAAATAAGTAGTATAGAACATAGAAATAACTCTCAACAACTATGCAGTGAACATCCAAACCACTGCCGAGTAATCCAAAAAGTATACACTGACGCATTCAAAACTGACCAGGGAGTTGGATTTGCCATCATCTGTGGAAACATGCGTAAAAAATTTCATTTTCCAAAAGCCGCATCTATCTTCACAGCAGAAGCTTGTACAATTCTCGAAGCTTTTCACCATACACAAAACAACAATACTCAATCGTCCATCATTTTTATAGACTCTATGAGCGTAATCAGAGCAATAGAAAACATAAATAGTAAAACAAAACATGAAACCATTCTAAACATTCAACATATTTTTACGTACCTCACCAATAATAACAAAGACATAATCATCGCCTGGGTTCTATCCTACCAGGATGGAATCAAAGGTAACGAGAAAGCTGACATAGCAGCCAAAGAAGCAACATTGCCCTCGTTGGATGTCATCCGAAGACGAATTCCTTATCAAGACCTTGTTGTAACATTACACCATGCTGAAAAACAGTCATGGAACAAATTATGGAACCTCCAAAGAAACAAAAACTCATAATATAACCCAAGATTTCTATCAAACAATGCGTACCCACAACATGAAAAGAAAAGACAGAATAGTCATGACAAGGCTTAGAACAGGACACTGCAAACTCACACATGAGTATCTATTAAAAAAAAACAGAACCCCCAATGTGTATCCAATGCAACCGAATTTTATCAACCATCATCTTCTATTTGAATGCAGCTAATACCACGCTCAAAGGCAAGAATACAAAATAACTTCACCGGTAGCCCTAACGTCACAGAAACACATAGGTAATGTCCTGAATTGTTTCTAAAGGAAACTAACATCTACCATAATATATAATCGTCTTGAAAAGAAGGAAACAGTACCTAGCCGTCGCTAATGACCAGAAGGTAGATGCGACGTCATAAATTAAAAACAAAAAACTGACATTTGTAGAAAAATATCCGTTAGTTGTTCAGTGATTCATTTGAGTTAGTAAGAAATTTTCATGAGACTTTAGATAAACACTAGACACAGGTATAATTCAGAAAAGAACGTCCTTGAGACGTCCAATACTTATTTTTGTAAAATTGAATAATGGTTCTTGTCATTTGTAACACTTGTAACTCTTGATCGTAAAATCTAACGTTATCTTCAATAAACAAATCGCAGCAAGTGTTGGTCCTTTCGTGTTTAGGTAGATTTGAGTTACTAACTAGTTCTAGCGGATCCAATAGTCTTAGGTACAAATCCTTTTTGACGATCGTAAAGTTTTAGTGCTTGAATGGTACATAAATAAAAATTTATTATTTTTAAAATCGGAAAGATGAAGTACTCGATCACAAATTATATAATTTTACGGCAATTTAAAATCATTCTGAGTCAAGTGTAGATATTGCTTTTACGATGAGGTTTTACAATAGAAAAATATGTTGAAGTTACCAAAGATGTGTTTTTTCTCGCAAATCTAATGTAAATTTTATTTACAGAAAGATTTTTCTTTCTAAAATAAAGAATAATTCTTATTTATTATTTAATGAAAATAATTCCAATTTTTAATTTATTTAAAGTTCAAACTGATTGCATACGTAATTACATAAGTTCAAATCAATGCAGTCGTCGTAGACTACTGACAAATATAATATACAAATATAATCGTAATCGTAGGCACGAGAACTGTTATCATCGTATTTTTAACGCCACGTTTGATCATTGATACTTTTGATACATTGATAGGAAGAGTAAATTCACGACACAAATCGATCATTGTCGTTCGATATAAAGGCGTCTTTTCATTTGCGCCATTAGGATTACCGGGTTAAGAAGAATGACGAATTACTCGTTCCAACGTGTATAACTTAAAACTAGAGTTTCGAAATTGTTGGAAAATTTCTTAAATTTTATTAATTATATTTATTAATGTTTACTGACGTTAAAACTCTACAAAATATTCAAATTTAAATTTCGCTAATTTATATTTATAAAAATATGCTACACATGCAGCTAAAAATAGCTGTCTGTTAATTACTTCAATACTTGGTATAATCATAAAATAATAATTAATTCCAGTTCTTTTGTAAAAATTTAAATCAAAGATATTGGATCATTTATATGTTATATACATCTGTATAAACCTGTTGCATTAAACCACAAGTCATGACGCACTTGTGTATCCAACAATGCACCGATTTCCGTTGATTTATGCCCATTGCGGTTGTGAAATCCGTGGAATAACCAAATGAGACTTTCGACAGAAAAATTACTGTGATTTCGGCTGGTTATTTACTCAAAAACCGCATGGACACTGACAAGGATAATGGAGGAAGATCCCGCCCTTCTGCGCCGTCTTTTTTTTTTTTCTTTTTTTTAAAGTATAATGTCGCGAAAAGAAAACGTTTCAGAGGAATATATTATCGTGGCTTTATGATTGTCGGTTGCATTGTGGAAAATTGTCTGAAGGAATCTGTTCGCTTTACGAAAATCGTTCGTTACTTATTATTAGCTGTCGGTAACAGTAATATTGCGTTTTGAAAATGAAGTTTGCTCGCTGAAAGCTTCTATTCTGTTTGATAGAAACATTAGGAAAGCCTGGTTTACTACCAACGTTAGTGCTAACTTTGTGTTGCCAATCAACTGTAGCTATTGTGTAACTGATAATATAACTAATTTCTGTTAGTTGTAGCGATGAAGAAAAAATTACTGTCGTTAATAACGTAGAGTAACGTTACACTTACAAATTCATTGACAACATAAACTCAACTCTGACGTTAAGTCAGCCAGTGCTTCTTCGTATTAAATAAATTTCAGCAAACAATAATTACAAATAATTAATAACTAACAAACTTAATAACTCAGTAATAAAAATTGCACTATTGCGAAGATAGTTTTTGATTCAGATATCCATGACATTATTCTTCACACTGACGCTAATACAATTCTATTAAGAAGGAAGATTGAGAAAAAGAACTAAAACTTTGAGTAAAACTGCAGTCAATAATATTCCAATTATTGTATCTTGAGTAACGACGGGATCAAAAACAAAAACACACACACAATAAGAAGATGATGATGATGAAGAGGATGAAGAAGAGAAAAAGAATCGCAGAAATTCCTCGAGGAACCGACAATTGAGAACCTTGTCCCGACGAGCACATGCACGCGAGATGACAAAATTCATCAGGTCCGCGATCGGAATGATCGTCTTACTGCATTAGCCGGCAGCGTAATGTAGGCACGCGTTACTTGGAAATCTCGTGGCAAGGCGTTCGGTCAAGTAAATCCTCTTATCCGCATCGATGACACCCGACCGGACGAGAAACATGAAGATGAACGCGAAGAGTCGGGACTCCACGAAGACGTACGCAGAACGATCGAATCGCAGACTGGCCTTACCGGTGCAACGAGTTAAAAGGACGAGGTTCTTCCTTGAGGGTACATTAAACATACGAATGCAGATCCGTCTAGCCAGTAAGGATCCACCGAAAGGAACAACCGACGACACTCGTTCTCTGGCTTGTTACTATCTCGCCCGAGTCGCACGAGGACGCGTCGCCCGTCCCCTCTTTAGGGCCACGTTAAATTGGATTTAAATTTTGAGATTTATAACGCGACCGTGAATCCCTCTTCGGAGAACACTTACGGCGATTCTTTTAATCTTTTTGTCGCGGAGAGAGAGACAGAGAGAGAGAGAGAGAGAAACGCTCGCCGCAGAGGACCCTGTCCCTTTCAATCTCTGTCGAAATTTATTGCGGAAAGGGTGTCGAAATTCTCGATGCGTTTGATTATGCAATCTGACAATTAAATTCTCTACTCGGGCAACACGCGTACATACGCGAACACAGCGGTGATACATGTGCACGTGTACATTATATCGGAACGTTTCATTTATGCGGAGACACGATGCTCAACGGTACGTGGGCACACTTGCTTATTTTTGACAGAATGTAATTCATCAGACTAAAAAATATGACGTGTGAGTTATTAATTGACGCTGTACGTCTGAAATTAAAGTTGAGTTTGCATAATTGTGATTTGGGGGATGAGTTCTGCAGTTCTGTTCGTAACAAATTATTAATAATGAAATTTGTTAATGGAAGTGGAAGTTTTATGAAAGTGAAACATGAAAGGGAATGCAACAGAAAAGGATAAATAATGACAAGAAAATAAAGGGGAAAGAATATTAAAAAATATTACAACGATCAGATTTATTTTCACGTAATTACATAGTATAAAGAATTATTATACAATGTCTTAAAATATATATGTCGATAAAATAACTTCTTTGACAATAACTTTTTTCTTTATTTAATTTCTTTCACAATTTTTAAATGCATTTTAATAATTGACTTGCTAGTATTAATAAAATGAAAATCAAATTATATGATTTACATTACTTCGGATTATTTGCACGCAATCGCGTGCTAATTTACTGCTTGAAAATTTTCCAGAATTAAATAATTGATACAACGTCATCTATTAATACCGCGTTTAACGTTAACGCGCTTCTTTTTTTTTTTTTTTAAATTTTCGTATTCCTCTGCAGATATTTTAATCTTGGACGCTTCAATCTTGGAAATCAGCGAAGTTGCCGACCTTTAATAGCGTCTGTTTTTCATTATCACATTTATCCTCGTCGGTATCAGCCGCGAAACAAGTTATGCCGATAGCGATATATTCGCATTAGGCATTAACTTGAATCCGATAATGTGACACTGTTAATGGAATTCCGCCATTCTGTGTTTCATCAAACGAGTTGTTTGCTCCCTGGCTTATTACACTTGAGATTAGTTAAGCTAATATTAATTTTCCTTTTGCCTCGGCATTAGCTCAAACGAACCAGTATCCCGACAGAACGATGCGCATTAAAGATACCAATATCTCGAACGCGCGACAAAAGATCCGAAGAATTCGGGAGCTTTTGGCGAACACACCGGGATAAGCAAATTGACGGTTGACAATCATTTTCATTAACTCTATGAAAACGAAATACGCAGGGATAATCTTTTCGCGTTTATGGAAATGTTCGTCGAATAAATCTTGTTCGTTTCATTTTTACTTTGCTCTTCCCTTGTCATTCGTATTCTTGAATTTTTGATATCAATTGCATTTTTATTGCAATTCACTGCCAATTGCCAATTTAGATTTGCTTATTACAAATTCGTTATTTGTTCTTTTAATTTGACTAAAATTAGATTGCTACAATCGTATTCATATACGATATGAAATATATATCATAGAATTATAATATGAAATAATAAATACAATTATTTAAATTTTAATTGAAATTGAGTCGAAATTAAATTTGGATTTATTTATTAATTGGAGCAATTAATTTAGGCTTAATTAATTAAAAAAACCATGCTAAAGCGTGGAAAATAATTCTCAGAATTCTATTATTTGTATTAAATGAAGATCCATAAAAATAATCTATTTATCTGATAAAATTATTATTAGAACAGCTTAACTTGAATAATACTCAATAAAAAGGAAGATAATTTGAAATCATATATCGAAGATAGATATATATATAATGTAAAATCTTTCCTTGCTGAAATCCGAGTCATATTGAAACATAAAAATGCAGTAAGGTTTATCACTCCATTTTTCACTATATAATTAGAATTTCTTCGTAATACATATTAACAATCGATGACATAGTAACGCCATGCCATTCTTAGCGATAGTAATTGATGGTACTGTAGTGGCACGTAATTTTCAACACTTTATGATTATCAAAAAATAAATGGTAAACAAATAGACTGTGGATTTTATGCAGTTTCGTGAACATAATTAAAAAATATGGCATCCAATTGAAAATTTGTCTCATTTACTAAATATTATAATAGATCTACTCTAGTTTGCATATTTTATTTCTTCATATTACCTTAAAATTTACCAAAAATGCATAAAAATCCAGTGCAGTGATAACTCTAGTATTTTTATCTCCTTAATTTATACAAATTCAGATATAATTATTCATGTTTTTTTTCTACATATGTATACTAAAAGTTATATTTAAATTCCCAATGGAATTTGTCAGATTCTGGTAAAATTACCCGTTTTATCGAAACTGTAAATCGATCGCTGTAATATCAAGAAAAAATTAGTTTTATTACTAAAATGATAACAGAAAGTATCAGTAGGGTATTTTTGTAGAATCGCTGGTAAAAAATGCAAATAGTAATCAGTGCTCGTAGCAGATTTCAGAGAGCGAGCTTCAACAAGCCGAGCAAACCAGAAACTCACTTTTTCAAGAGATCTACGTTTGATACCGTCTCTAACGCGATACATCTCAACGCTTTTAATCGCCCGCTTCATTTTAGTTCAACTTTGTTGCGGGAGTGCTTATTAAAGTAAAGTGTAGCCCGAAGCAAAATTGTCATGTTAAAACGAAGCTGAAATAAGAAACGAGAATACGTGTAATTTCCCCCAAGATGCACGTCTTTCGGTTTTTTTCAATTTCAATACCTCCGACTTGCTTCGTTGAAAAAAAAAAAAGAAAGGAAAATAAAGTCGTATATAACGTACATATATAGGTATAATGCGGTATGAACGTAAAATGCGCGCTCCTTTTGCAATTCGTTTGAAAAAAAAAAAAAAAAAAAAGAAAAAAAAGCCCTGGGCATTCTTCTTACTCCACCTCTTACTCCATTGTGCCCGTTCGACTAGGTAGGCTTTTCTCTGCCGCGGGTAAGGGGATAAATACTGGCGCGCACATTTCGAGCACATCTCACGGCCACGCCAGCCATACGGAGGAGAGGGTTTTCGGAAAAAGGCCGAAAATGGAGGCGGAGGATTGATCGCGCGGAGAGAGAGAGAGTTGAATTTCGTTCGATCGACCCGTTGAGAACCACGGCGTTTCGTAGCACCATACACTGTATTACACATTCACAAACACGCATACTCCTACGTATAAAGTACGCGTGTACCCTTCACCAGTGCGGAGGAGAGTACCGAGGCGAGCCGAAGGTGACCGAGAAGCGGCGCCGAGCGGAATCGTGATCGACGCAGCGTCGGGCCAGCTCCGCTCACTCTGCTCCGAGCTGTCGAACGCGACGCACGCGCCTCCGCTTCGCTTCTTCCTTCTCTACGAGTATACTCGCCGCACTTAGAGACATATTTCCCTCGCTTTCTCGCCACCGAAGTATTATCATCATCATCATCAAACTGAGAGAAGGAGGCCGGCACACTCGTCTCTCTCTCGAACCTCCGCTCCTAGGAACGCTCAGTCTCAGTCTGTTCGTGAAACGTCCAGCTAGTTCCCACAGTTACAGAGTTCGTCATCAGAGAACATAAAATCCTGCTTCGTCTTGTTTTCTCGCGCGTTTGCTTTTTTGGATCTCTCGCCGTCGAGAAGGCCGCTTCTCTACCCTCGGTCTCGCGCACAGCCGCTTCTCCTCTTCAGACCCGTGCTGTCGTTCTCCACGTTGAGCTACAATGTCTTCCCGTTGAAAACGTTCCACGTCCGATCTCGCTCGCGTCGACTTTCAATCGTCGGCCAGATATACATTTCATTTGGTGCTCGTTCTCGTTGTATTTCGTTCAAAATCATCGTTTCTGGGGACACCGTATTTGCATATTACGCGGGGGACGTTGAATTATTGAACAGTTTCACGCAACGATATCGAATCTCTTCAGCATCCCGTCTGCCGGTGACACTTTTCGCACGACTCATTTCCTGAAAATTCCTGAGAAAAAACGACCTTCCGTCGTCGTTTCGTTAACTATCGAAAAATATCGTCTCTCTGGGGGAAGCCATTCGCTTGTAGGCCCAGCTGGGCAGCCAGGCATTGTCCAATGCTGTGCAGCTCGAGGCCCGTACGGTTGTCCTCCATGGAGGGCGCCGATCGCTCGGATCTCAGGGACGGTAGACGGGTTCGCGGACAGAGTGGTGGAGGCAGCTGGAGTTGCGAGACGACTTAAAGGCTTTGCCGTGATAAGAGATTGTCGAGGGCCAGCCTCGTGTTCGGAGGTTTGGCCTTCGCGAGAGGACAGAGTAGTAGTGCGGGGAAGGTGGTGGTGGAGGGGGGGGGGGCAGAAGATCGTGCGGCTCGAAGGTAAAAAGAAATAGAAAAAGAAAGTCGAAACACCGAAAGTCGAAAATATTAAAAGAGACGAAGAATATTGAGATTGACGGGTAGATTAAACGAAAGAAAAAATAAAAAAGAAAAATAGAAAAGAATACGAAAGAACGAAGAAACGGAAGACAAAGAACCCTTTTACACTTGGTTTAGTCGCGGAGTTTTCTGGGGTATATAAGGGGTACAAGGTGCGCATGGTAACCGAAGGCAGACAGAAACCTCCCCCTCCCTCCCCATCCCACCCCTCTTTTCCTGCCAGCTTTGAATCAATAATCTCCGGCCAGGATTATATGCAGAGTCCCTTTTATATTTGGTGCCGTGATAAGAAAGATATCGACAGATTAAAGAATTCCGGGGGCCCGGGTATATAGTACCGCGATATAGTATCCGTGAACGTTTCTGTGGATTCGCAATGATGGTACACAAAATCACGGAGAACATTTCTGAGACTGATTTATTCCCTCCTCCTCCTCCTCCTCTTCCTCCTTGGCATTACGTCGTGTACGTCTTTCTCCGGTTACCGGTGCGCGGTATCGGCGTGCGGATTATTGATCTCTTCATCCTCCTCTTCGTCCCTTTGTGATATTCCGAGGAAAAAGAGTCAACGCGGCGAATATGATTACGCCGAAGTAATAACTCGCAACGAGGACAGTCCGTTTCACGGCACGACACAGCCGAAAATGAATCAATCCTATCGAATGTTAACGTCCGTCAATCCTTCCTCGAAATCCAGTCGGACCTACCTTTCCGAACTACGTCTCGATGACGGATCTCAGATTCGTTTCTTAATTCGTGGTCTTCGGAGTATCTACAAACACAATATACTATGGTGATCACACGTGGTACGAGTTTAATAAATTTCTGTGTTTCATGTGCACCGCAGATCAAACACTCCAGATGGAATCGCCTTCGGCCCCGGATTGTCTTATTGAGGCCCAAGAAGATTCCACCTCGGCAGGATCAGCGGAGACGATCGATGCGTCGTCGTTGACGGTGTCATCGTCAGTATCCTCGCCGGCTACGTCGAGGAACGAGTCAACGGAGCGCGGTAACGATGTTGGTAGCCAAGAGTTTGCCAGTATAGAATCGTGCGAGACCTCGGTCGCTTCGGATGCCTCGAACGAGCCTTCGGAGGCCGCGAACGATTCTTCGCCCGGCGAAGGTCAATTAGATATTTCCGACATGGGTCTTAAGCTTGGCAAGGACAAGAAGCAACTTCGAAACACGGACGACGATATCGAAGTGAAGAAGTTGAACGTATCTGTGGACGAACGAGATCGTTCGACGCCGACGCCGACGCCGATGTCGCCGTTGGTTCAGTGTACCGAAAAAGAGACAGAGTCTGATTGGAAAGTGTTGGATAACAACGACGGAGGATTCGTCGCCTCGTCGCCATTATGTAGAAAAAGGCCGGCCAGTGATTTCCTGCCGATCAACGCGGAGATCAAACGGATTGACGTTGAGATCCCGGAGAACGACTTGAATCAAGTAAGAAGCGACGTGAGGAGGATCTCGCCGGTGTTGGTGAGCCTTCGGGAGCGTACACTCGGCGAAATATCCCTGTCCTCGGACTCGTGCCTGTTCGACGACGACGTTAACAGCCGATGCGTCTCGAGGAACAATAGGATAATCGACGACCTGTTAACGAGTGCTTGTAGGTTATCGACAACGGTCGTAGACGGTTTTCAAACTGATCATGATATCGAGGGAACAGCTTGCGTCGAGTCGGAGCACAGGATCATCCGCAGAGAAGCGACGTCGCCGGAAGGTGAATGTACTAATGGCAGCGTCGAGGAGGCGCTAGCAGAGCCCTGTAAAAAGCTCGAATACCCGGGCTCGACGTTCATCGACGAGGACTCATGTTGTTCGCTGTCGCGCGAGAGCCCCGAGAGGAATTTCAGCAAGTGCCAGGAGCCGAAACAGTGCGAGGAGCCTATCGAGGAGTGCTCATGCAACGACACCATGCCTACGAGCGATGCTTGCGCGACGACGCCGGTCGTGAACAAGCAGGTGAAACAAAATTCGTTACCCCATTTGGTAGTTAAGATGGAACACGTCGACTTGTCGAAGTACTTGTCACCGGATCGGAAGAACGCGAAATACATGGTCGTCAGCTCGAAGAAGAAACAGAAGAAGAACACCGCGTGCAATGATGACGACAGCAACGTGGCCGTAAGAACTGATTCCGAAGACACGTTGAAGGAAGTATGTTGCGTCGTTGAAAGTTGCGCTTACAAGAAAAACGTCGAAAAGACTGAGTCACAGGACCATAAGGAGAAACCAACAGATTCTCCTATAGTATCCAATCTGAAACAGACCAAATTAACAAAATCATCTTCCGTTGGCGTTGTGAAGGAATGCAAGGTGGTCTTGCAGAGGATAACGTTGCCAGTGAGAACGACGTCGACGGAGAACTCGGAGAACGAAGAAACGGGACCGAGATCGGCAATGGAGAAGTTGGAGAACGACGAGAAGATGGTGTTCCCCTCGTCTTTGTCCCCCGTCGAGAATTTACAATCGCTGAACAATTTAGTTTCGTCTGAAACGACGCTAGGTTCGCCGGTGATGTTGGAACCGACCGCGGATATTCCAGAAACGATCGACACAGAGACGGAGACCGAGACCGGGTCCGACAGCTCTGAAATACCGACCATGACGAGCGTACCTCTTCGTGGATGCGAAGACGATGCCGCTTCTGACCAAATATCGTGTCAGGAGAGCGAGTCCATGTGCTGCGTCGATATTAATCCGGAAATCATATCGAGGTTGGAGCCAGAAAGGCCGGAAGCTTTTACCGAAGATTCAGCGGAGAGTCTGGTACTTGCCGCTGGTGCACGGGACGAAGTTAGATCGGACGGAAGCGATTCTGGTCTAGGCAGCGAGATTCCTGGTGATTCTGGGCCTGCACCTGTCCCCGAAAGCGATTCCGAGACTTCCTTTTTGGATAGGATACCCGATGATATTCTCTCCGACAAAGAAAAAGGTAATTAAACAACATAGTATATATATATATATTTTTTTTTATTAGTTTTCACTTGAGAAAACATTTTAAAAAGTTGATATTACATAGTTTATATATTAGTATTCATATATATTCATATATTAGTATTCATGTATATTAGTGGTGTACAAATGATGTGTTAATGTATTTCTGAATATAAGAGAACGTGGCAAGAAAGTGTAACGTATAACATTCTGTTTTTTTAGCCGTAAATCAATTGGACAGCTTTGTATCAAACGTGGGTATACCAGGTACACCACAGCCGCCATTGACGAACTTTCGGAGCCCTACAAAGAGTAATCTAAAACGAAGATTAATAGATTGCATGGAAGACGCTCCTAGTCCGAAGAGAAGCAATACGGGTGAATCGATGAAAAAGAAACGCAATATTCAATTCGACGCCGTCACCGTTTACTATTTCCCTCGGGCACAGGGTTTCACTTGTGTGCCTTCTCAGGTATACATTTTTTTATGATACAGACTTTATTTCGCGTCGTATATATTACAAATAATATATTAGTATTGTATTGTTTTAATAATATGATGTAAGAGAAGAACGTATGAATGTAGTGTTTGAAATCGATTTATCCTCAGGGTGGCAGCACTCTTGGTATGAGCGCGACGCATACTCACGCAGAACGGTTCTCGTTGTCGGAGCATGCTGCTGAACAGAGGCGAATTCATCGTGCTAGGCTAGCTCAATTGCGCTCGGAGCGTGCCGCAAATTGCGTATCGGAAGCAGCGTCCAGCTCTGAGGATCCCAGCGACGACACGGACGAGGAACAAAGTGATAACGAGGAACTGGACATTGATAGTTATTACTTTCTACAACCAGTGCCTACATGGCAGAGACGAGCTTTGCTTAGAGCTGCTGGAGTACGTAGAATAGATGCGGTCGAGAAGGACGAGTGCCGCGACATTAGAGCCAGTAGAGAACATTGCGGTTGCGGGTGCAAAGGATACTGCGATCCAGAAAGCTGTCCTTGTAGTCGAGCCAATGTAAAGTGTCAGGTTAGTAAACAAATGCCTCGCGATAAACTCGCAGATTTTCTTTCTTTTTAGCATAAAAAACAAGTAAATGACGCGACTGTTATGTGTGTTAATAGGTGGATAGAGCGGGTTTCCCTTGTGGATGTACTCGAGACGGTTGTGCGAATAATTCAGGCAGGATCGAGTTTAATCCAGTACGGGTACGAACACATTTCATTCATACTCTAATGCGGTTAGAATTAGAAAAAAAACAACGAGAAGAAGAGGGCGCGGATCATGACGCTTCCGACAATCAAAACGGCCGAAGTCCGTTAAGGGAAATCAATTTGGGATCTGTGATGGAGAATAGGACCACTGAATCGTGTCTGAACGGTGGCGGATTTACGACGCTTCATTACGAGAATCACGACGCTAGAGACGGCGGGACGAATTGTCAGCCAGAAGTACCTGGTACTAGAGAGGATAGTCTGGATCTTTACGCAATTAGAGATGATTGTTATCCTAGCGAAGACACTGTTGATGGTACGCAGGGACCTCAAAGGAAACTTCATCCTGAGTTTAGTCAAGCTTTTCAAACGTTCAGCCAAACGGGTGCTGGAGTGACCTTTCAACAACCTACTTATCAGGATTATCAACCTTACGCTAACCTTCCTTCTACATCTAGGGTGCAATTTCAGCCCCAATTCCAAACGGTGCCAGGAAATCCAGGGTTCTCACACTACGCGCCTTACGGACAAGACACCGGATCAATTCAGGGGAACTGCCACGTCCATCCCGGACAACACTCTTCCAACTACGAGACCAGCTTCGCCCAAGATGAAACAACTGGATCGCAGTACACGAATTTGAATTCGGTGCAGCCAATGAACACGGTGGTTCAACAGATGGGTAAATTAGAACCATTTTCAGAACTTTTGTCTGGTAGATATTCGTATTACGGTGAAATGGAGCCTCCGGCGCATGGTACTTATCACGGGAACGGAACGAAGGTCGAGGTAGAAAAGAACCAAGGTAACGAGCAGCAATCGGAAAGTACGGAAGAGTGTGATGAAAACTTTGGTGAGATTATTAAAAAGTCAATGGTTGAGACTGTATCCGCTTAGGTCAAACTGTAGATACAAAGAATTGTCTATATGCAAATCCGTCAAATCGTTTTTGACCCATAGTGATTTATAATGAAAAAAAAAAAAAAGAAAATAGAGTAATTTCGACGGATTTAATTTCCGTCGAAAACCTCGCGAACAAAAAAAAATAAAAAAAGTAAATAAGGAAAAAACAGAAAAAAGATAACGAGGAAGTATCCCGATAATGAGGTGCTGGAGTTTTGACCAGTTATCCTTCCATTAGATAAATCCGAAAATTGTTTATGTGGTTTTCGAACAGAACAAAAGTTCTCCTCGAGAATCACTCGCGGTTAACTATGACGAGTCCCGTGGATGTCGTTAGAAAAATTATGCGGATACGTGTGCGTCCGCCCGGGATGGAAGCTTGAGACATTGTCCTTGTTCCTTTATAATAAGATTGTCGACTGTATAATCGATCGAATGGATCGAGACAATGTTCTCAATAAACGTGAAGAGAATCCGGGGCCGCCAATTCGGCGAAGGATTTTCGGGAGAAGGTCTTCGTCGAAAATCTTCATGAACAGTCTCCTTGAAATGGCAAGAATTCTGTAACTCAGTTACAGAAGAAATTCAACGAGGTTGTGACCAAGAAACAACATATGGGATCAGCTTAGATTGCAGTTTATAATACTTAACTTTAATACCTTAATCGTAGGCTCGCGGGTCACGCGTCTTTTTAAAAGAAAACGAAAAAAAAAGAAGAAGAAGAAGAAGAAGAAGAAGAAGAAGAAGAAGTTTCGGATTCGGATTCGTGTGACAGCGGCGATGGCAAATAACTTAGTATTTATTGCGAAAGCGAATCTGAAAGACGTTACATTGCTGATCAGAAAGGAAGAAAGGCACATGCATGTACACACACAAAAACACATTTATAGACGACCACGAAATGTGAGCGATTGTGATACTCGTGCATATGAAAATACAGTTTGCCAGGATCGTAGGTTAAGAAAATTACTTATGGGACTTTTTTATGCCAGTTAGTAAGAGATCGAGTTTGAATGGTTTTTCAATCAGCAGGCGACGGTAAATGATGATAGAGAATAGATTTTTCCTCGTGTTGTAATGAATGCACACGCATCGCGGTTAAATACATGTTTCCAATGTTAGAGAAACCATGATTGGTTGGCATACCAAACGCACGCTGTCTACAGAACACATAATGTTAAGCCCTCGTATATTATTTCTTTTTTTTCATTCTTTTATATGACACCTTGAAATTGCAGGTCTTTCGAATATCACGCACATATATGAATATATTGTATGAATATACTTGTGACAAAACGTGAAAATTTTTCATACATTTCGAAACGTACACGTATAAATTGTCGATTGTTAAGAATTTTCGTTCTCGATGAATGATCAACGGTTCAACTTCGTCCTTTATTCGCAATTTCAGGGTAAGCATTAACGTGAACAAAATAAGAAAAGAAAAGATACCCGCGTGAAGTTCTCTCGTTTTTTGGAAAACTGTACGATAAACAAAAGTCTGATGACAAGTGTTGTCTTGTTTGGACGTTCTTTTGCATACCCATTGTTATTCACCTTGTAGATTTTCAGACACAGACCTCTTTAGCATCCCGGGACGTTGATCGCTATACCCACGATTAATTGAATATTACACATAAGAAAACAATGATAACGACGATAGTATTAAATTTATACAATACTTATTGGACGTGTCAGCTCCCAAGCACTTTTAACGATCTTCTATTTCCGTGTTTCACACTGTGTTCATCGTCGCTGATTGGTGCCTAAAATCGTTACGTTTGTTGTCAGTGTACAATGATAACGAAATCACACTTTCGAAAATAGAAGAAACGAAAGGAACGTAGATTTATCGTGTTGAGACGTTGCGAGGGATGTGACACCTCCGTATAACATAAATATACATATAAACTACACGTATGTAAGTAACTTTTAGAGTATTTGAGTAAAAAAAAGGCATACATAGTTGATAGCGTTTTATTAAATGTTGTGAAAAAGTCTCTTGTCTGTCGTGTAATGTGTTGTCTCATTATGTATGCGTCTTTTTCGTTCTTTGTTATTTTCCCCTTTCATATTCACGATGCCGTTTCCCAAGATCCTTTGTTATCGTTGTCACGTTAAAAGTAGTTTATGAAATATCATATTTTTTCTAATTCCTTCCAATGTATAGTATCCGGTTGTGCAAAAATACTCTCTTTACCTTTATTATATTCTTCTATTCTAATGTTGCGATAACATGCAATTACAGGACTGTTGCATCTGTTACTATTCGTACAAACGAAGTCGAAGATCTTGCAAGATCTCGCAAATTAGCAGTAATAAGATGTCTGCGTAAATTCACTTTCCGCAGCGGCGATTTAAATGTCCCGCTACGTGCTTCAAATTTCCTGCCGCGAAGCGTAGCTGCGCGCGCACAGTTCAGTCCAATATGGCGTCCGTCGCGGGAATTCTGTGCGGACAGCAGTGACGTTTATTCGCGATATTATTTGAGTTACAAATTACATACAAAATTCGTGATTGGCACGGGCAATAGACGTACAAAACGATAACGCGAACAATGATCCGCGTAACGATATAAACCAATTTTAAGCCGATCGTTTCTACCTGCTGTTCGTACCGTGGCTTCGGGTGGGGAGCGACGCGATGGAAGGGAAAGCATTGGCAAGTTGTTGAGTCGAGTGACGCTGGAAGTTAGCGCCTGCCCGTGAGACCGTGCGGAGGTTAGATTGGTGCGGTTAATATTTCACATTCGATCATTTTTCCTTCTTCAGTCGGCCGGTGAGACGCGAAAATCGGTGTATCAAGTTGAACGGAAGTGGCGTGCAGTGCGGAACTCGTCGATGGCGTAATTCAAAAAAGAAAAAAAAAAATTCAATTCGTTAATACGACGGCGTGCCAGTGTCGTTGACGTTTCATGTGTCAGTGTCCTCTCTCTCCCCCCTTGTTTCCCCTCTCTCGCGCCTGCCCTTTCTCGTCTCCCGTCCTTTTCTATCTCGTCCCTTTCTATATACGTTACGATCGTCGTGCCAATAAGTCGCGTTCGTCGCTGCAATGCCAGATGACAGGTGCGAAGCGCTGCCATTCGTGCCTGTCGACGAGTCCTTCGTGTGTCCTGCGAATTTAGGATACGCTGCAGAATGACGAGCGCAAGGTTGTTCTACCGGAAGGGCGGCGAAGAGGACCGAAGACGACGACCACGACGACGATCTCGAATTCCCTCGCGCTAGCGGTGGGCTATGAGCGCTGACAATGGGGACGACTCCTTGGTAATTATCATACCTTTCTCTTTTTTTTATTGCTCCCCCTTGTTTCGTGTCTACGTTGCGCCTGGTCTGCATGCATTGCGGCCTGTGAAACACGCGGATTGACAGAAAAGCAACGCACGGCTTCCTCGTGCGGAAATAATCGTGGATTTGAAAGCTCTCGCCGTCTCTTTCTATCTTTCGCTCTTCCATCTGCGTCTAACGTTAACGCGGTCACGCGAAGGAAATATTCTTGCTGGCGGGAATATTCGCGTATGTGTATTTCACTTTGGTATATTAAGAAACGTGTGTATAAAACAGAGTCGCGGGTTGGAGATATTATGAAATGACGATAGATGGAACGTTGTGGCTCGTGCCATAATTTTTCCTCCTTTTTTTTTTTACGTAATCAATGAAACAGGAAGTATGTACAATGTGTTTAAACAAGAGGATCACGAAATTGCAGGGTTGCGTCGTCAGCGTGAATTGATTTCGATTCACCTTGCATGTAACGATCTTCGACCTTTTGACAATTGTTAGCTACACTGACTAATCGCGTGGTATTCCAGACACGAACTGTTGTATATTTAAATCTTTGAAATTCGGCGCCTTCGAAAGCTAGAATTTTAAAACTTTGCGAACACCTGATTCTAGACAGTTATTACCACCAATTTTCACACGTAATAAAGCAATATATATAGATTTCGGAATACAAAACATGGGACGGAAATACAATACAAAAGGAATCGTAGATGTTATCTTTGTTCCATCATGCTCTGTGTTAATTGCTAATAACTCGGAGATACTGTCACGTGTTTTCTGTCCACGTGATCCAAGTGGACAGATGAGTTTGTACCGAGTAAAGGTAATTTTTTGCTGCTAGTGATATTTCTTACTCGACGACTTGAGAGTTGTGAAACTTTACGTTTCGTAAGTTCACCGGTTAGCCACAGGACGAGAGTGGAACGAGAGTAGAATACGATTTTTGACGTGGTCTTAACCCTGTTAAATTCTTTCATTTTCAATTCTATTGTATTTTTCTAAAAAGAAAAAAAAAATGTTTTACGTTCAAGCAAAATATGCAAGTGTCTTTTTATTTTCTAACTTTTTTCAAGGAAACTAAATTTCCTTAAAAATAAGGTTGTTCAAAAATTTGGAGCATCTTCTGCTTTTACAAATTTGTTTGTAATTTGTATATTAAATTTAAGAAAATTTTTATAATTAAAATATATATATATATATATATATATATATATATATATATACATACAGGGTGTTTCTAACTGATGAGTTGCTAACTATAGGTGTTCCTGCAATTGAGTAGATGATTCTACGTGAAAAAAATGAGTCGAAAGGAAAGAATAAAATTCAAAACTCTTCGTTATAAATGCATGTATAACAAAGATTCGAGAATTAAATAATTTATTCACGTTTCGAATCATTTGAGGATCACGTTTACATCCCACATAATTGACATCAATTTCATTACGATTTTATTCGAGATACAAGTTGCTCATCGTGTGTTTCGTTGACCTCACTTCTCTTCGTGGACACAATCGTAATGCAGTGGACAGCTTGTAGTTCGATGGAATACGTTCAATAACTCGAGAGTCAATGAAACTTGCGCACGCCTCGTGCACGCGAAGGTATGCCTACTATCGAAGGATGTCGTTCTGTTTATGTTAGAAATTAGTCTGTCAGTCATATCATTCTGACTTACAAGTCCTCGTTGTTTCACCAAATGTAATTCGTACATACATATATAGAAGGATCGTTATTCATATAGAAAAGAAACGTAGATTTAGGAGGTTATAATTTATACAATAGCAACGTTGAAATTAAGTTGTGGACTACTTGTTATTACAGCCATTATGTTGTTTCTGTTGTCATTGTTAGAGCACAGTGAAATTGTGTTTATCTAATCGCCGCTGCTGGATAAACAATTCGTATGACAAGAATTCATTGGTTGTTCTCATCATCATAGTTCAAATAAAAGAAATTGTGTTATAGATAAATCGTGTTGGCAGGAGTACGGTTAAATTATTTAAAAGGAAGAAAAAGACAATATATATAACGTTAATTCAGAATTTAATGAAATCTATGTCAGTTTCAAGATCGATGATCTTCGAGTTTCAAAGTGTAAAAGCTATTACTTTCCACGTTTTTTCTGGGCTCTGATCCTCGTCTGGAAAGGTACGTTGTCTGGAAAGTTTTCTTTTCGATTGGAAACTGCCCGATGACCGTCTATGAACACTCGTAGCTCCCGATTCCTCGATAATCTCGATCTGGCCGGCGCTGTGAGAAAGGCAAGGCGACATAACGCTTATGAGAATGCAAAGTAATACGTGTCAAGTCTAACGAGGCGCGTCGCGGAATGCAGGAGGCGAGAAAGAATTGCGGGCTTCGCGATCCCGAACGTAAGGAACGCGTATAACTCTTCAATAAAAGAGGTTCCAAAAGCAATCGCTGATCCTGTAAAAATTTGTTTCTTTCTTTCTTTTTTTTTTTTCTTATAAAAAAATCAATCGAAATGGCCGAGTTTTTCTCACATTACCGTATTTTGCGAATTTTTGTCAATTTTATTAAAAACAAATGCTACAAGCGAAAGTCTCGAAGTAAATGTCAAAAGATACCCGTAACATGTCGCTCCTTTTCCTATCATCCGATTTATAGAATTGATTTTTGCTTCTGTTCAGTTTATTGGAAATTAAATCAGCCACGACATAATTTGGAAATGGAAACGTTAAAATATTTAGACATGCAATAAAAAACAGCAATCAACTAAATTAAGTACAAACACGCTAATTATATATATAGAGCATCCGGCTTCGAAGTGTTCAGCGTAGAAAAGAAAAAAATGGAAGAGAAAGTTACGCCAGTTTTTACACGCAACACAGTGTAGTACAATTTGTCCGCATTCTTGTGAAACGAAGAATACTTTCGATTCACTTTTTGGTACACCCTGTATCGTATGCATATATACACACGCCTTGATTTCCGCGTTGGGTCACGCTTTCATCGAAAAGGAAAGGGAACACGTTCGTGGCTCGAGCAAACTGTGACGATTCCGTGATTGATATGTAAATTACGAATATTTGTATCGCACGTACCGCGATTCGAGATACTGTTACACAAAAGACGTCTATTTCATAGCTGGAAGTTGTTTTATTGTCGGATCTCATAGCTTCTTCGGAGACACTCCTTTGGGAAATACGTCTTCGGTTAGATGTTCGTCGCGAGACGAACAAGGACTTTGTGCGATAAACTCGAACGATAAACTAGTCGATCCAACGCGTTCGATAGATGCTGGACGTGCCAATGCCACGGGTACTGTTACTTCTGGTTATTCGATCCAAGGTGAAGAGAAAAACTCTGCCTTCCATTCGTACGATAAAAATCGACCAGATGATTTCTTTCGATTTTCGGAGTAGATTTCTTCTCTCATATTGATATCGTGACATCGTGTAAACAGAATTTTCCTTTATACAGAGATTGTAGTTATTTGGTTACTTTGATATGAATACTATTTAATGGAGCTTTGTTTATTTAAATCTATTGGATAACGAACAAGTCGTTTAATTGGAGTTCATTCATTCTCGTCGCTGGCTGTGATTTTTCGCTTATGTAATATGACTTCATGTTTACGTAACAAAAGTTTGTACATACATATGTGTAGTATGTCGCTAATCAAAATTACTTTTTAATAAATGGAGTTCAGACAAATGCTATTCTTGCTATATGTGTGTCAGAAAATATAGGAATCGTTTAAAGTGGGTCGATTATACATATGTTAACTCTCTCGGAGGAACGTTTTAATATTACTGATATAAAAAATAGTTACATTTAACTTTTCTTTATTACATCTTGTATTTTATACCAAGCGAAGTAGAAGTGATACGAAAATTGTCCCGCCTTCCTCAAAACGAGTCAAAACATTTGCACAGTTTTCATCTCAATATTGACGCAAGCTGAGTAGCGTCGAAGAACATACAAAACACGGTGGGAAAGTTTTAAGCCACTTGTCAAACACAGAAATAGCTTGTATTTCAAATTTTATCAATATAATCACGATAGTCGTGTTTCTCTAAATGTTCAAATATTTTCATAAACCATTGTTACCTGGAGATTTGTGTCTATAAAGTAATATTAGAAATCTAATATTTCTTAAAATTACGATCAAGAAACATGGTCATAAAACAAGATTCATTTCTATATGTATATATATATATATATTATGGTAGTATCGTTGAAAAACATGGTCGTGGATCACGATTCATTTTTATATCTAGAAATATTTAAAAAAAAATATACTGCAACGACAATTAATGTCATACGATTTCTATACGATACTGTATATGAAAATATTAAAATATTAAAATTAAAATATTTAATAAATTAAAAAATTTAATATTAAAATATTAAAAAGAAAACATGTTGCAATGACAATTAATAATGACGACCTAGTTGTCATTACGATGACTTTTACACACCTTTTTTTTTTTTTCTTTTTTTTTGTAAAAAAACGCGTACACCGTGACGCTCCAATTCTCCAACACGCGCTTCGCACGAATCATCTTCTCACGAGCGAGGTTCGATCGTGAGAAAGGCGGATGTCCATTCAGAATTCAGTACGAAACGAGAGGAATCTTTTTCTCTCTTCTTCGTGTCTGTCGCTTTCCTTCTCACCCATCCCTCTTTCTTTGTTGCGTTTCCCGCGGTAGTCTCCATCTTCCTCGTCGACGTCGACCGAACGGAAACGTGAAAGTAACGTGGACCACGGTGTGCACGCGGTCACGCGTTTTTCGCCAACCTGATACCGACCACGCGCTCGAATGAAATGAAGGATCGGTGTCGATCTACCGAATCTAAATGAATCCCACGATTAATTACATCGAACCGCGAGCGAGACAATTTTGACGCAGGTGTCTTAATCATCTTGCGATCATCCAAGACTTATAATTAGTTGCTAGACTTTCAATGATAGGTGATGGGTGATGCAAGTTTGAAAAAGATTTGGAAAGATAAATAAAATTTTGTGGAATAGTGTTGAGATTGAATAAGTATTGTTAGAGATGATTATAACTAAAAAGATCTAAATAGAAAGTTGTTTTAAATATTAAAAGATTGTAAGGCGTTAAATTATTTGAATATTTTGTACATAATTTTTTTCCTTTTGGGATAGAATGACCATTGATATTGGTTTCTGTTGTAAAATTGCGGGGAATCGGGTGATAAAACTAGAATAGACTTTAATTTCTTGGTTTCAAAAGTCACTGAAAGATGATATGCATCGTCTTTATGGGAATGCAAGTCTCACCAATTTTTTTTTTTGTAATCGCGAGTCTCGCAGAGAATTTAGTTGGTGCCTGGTTTGAGATATTAGATCCACTTAAAGCGTTTAACGCGATTTTCCGTCTCGATGAAGGACATTTCTCAATGAGACGAAGGTTGTAGTATTTAGGCCATGTCGTAATCCCAAACCACAGGAGAAAGACGTAAATCATGTTTCCTGTCTTTAGTAAAAGAGCAATTTTAAAGTTTAATACATTGTCAATTCCATCTCAGAACTATCTTTTCGTTTGATCTCGGGTTAAATATTAATTAATTAAATCTTGTTTGTTAAAAAAAAAAAAAGAAACGGTGCACTTACTGCCTATTTTCGAGAAGCTTATATCTTTAGATTCATCAAGTTAGTATCTTCTTCAGTTGTTTTACATTAAATTTTCTCTCAGTTATAAAACTTTATTATATAAAAGTGGAAAAATTGAAAAATGTAGGGATTGAAGCTTGAAATTTCAAGCAATAGTTAGAGTAGAAAAAATAAATATGTAATATATGAATCAGAAAAGTCAGAAGAAATAGTCTGGTCGATCTGTCCTTTGTAATCTTCAAATGACATTCGAGTCAATTGCTTCCTACGTTTTATTCTATAATTACACGTATTCGGTACGATATTACAGTGTCGTGAATGAATGTGCATCGAGAGAATCGAATCGAATTTAAGAAAACTGTCAGCTGTGTTAGGGAACAAAAGGAATATTATAATGACTTCTTACGATTACTTTCTACCGTTCGTGCGGTGGTAAGATAATACGTAATACCAAAGATTAAGGAAAAGTGTGATTCGTCATGGGGATAAAACGAGAAATATAAAAATGTCGATGTATTGGTTTACGTTTAAGAGGCTCGAAACCGCAAGAAAGAGCCAGACCTGTAGATCTGTCGATCGTGGTTCAAGCAGTTTCTTATTGGCGTTGTGAAACTACTATCGCTACGCAAGTCAAAACGTTTGTACACAAATGGCTGGTGTACGATTACGGTAATTAAAACATTCATACTTTTGCGGAACTCGGTAGAACGTTTCGGACGTGTATTATCACTCAAGTACGATAAAGAATAATCCGTTATTGCAGTTTATCAATTTTGGGAAAATTGCAGTGAAATTTTAATATAAATTGCAATTGAAGGTAATGACTTCGTATGTAAATTTCTTTTTCTGTCTGTTTGCAATATCGCTTGTGGAATCGGCATTTTTCATGACATATTCAACAATATTTCTTCATTTCCTGTTTCGCCCTGTCTTTCGTGAATTTTTCGTTTAAAATAATCGAATAGTCTTCTTGTCTCTGTGGTATTTGATGAAACGACTTTTTATTGTAGCAATCTCATGTCATTTTCTTTCATTAAAACCTATAATGTTGACAAGTACTAGTAATTATAGAATATTTCGACACATACATCGAAACAAATAAGTCTTCCTAATGAAATTTTTAAACGTGGTTTTTAATTAAAAATAACCATAATTCTGTGACCATCTCAGAAATTCTAACTTCATAAATCCTTTATTAACAATAGAGCAAAATATATAAAAGAAAAATTTTTCTCTCAATGAACACCTAGTATGATGGATCTGTTTTACTTTGAAAAATCAATGAATTGTATGCCAGAATATTTTCCAAGTTTCTTCTTCGAGACCTCACTTCTTTGCTTATTGTAACGAAACTTGGACAAACGTTGAACGATGATAGATCTTCCGAATATTAAAAATTTCTCATATTCTTCACATCGGTCTTCATTGTATAATACATTGGCGAAGTTTACCGTCAGACTTGAACAGTCGAACTCTTTTGACAGGCTCAATCTTAAAATTCTCAAAATTCGTACTAAACGAGTCTCTCTTACGCGATTCGTTACAAATGTATCCATCATTCCCTCGTCTGTGCTTTTGGAACATCACTCAAGCAGCTGGCAGATTAACGAGACCTCCATAGAACCGATTGGTTTTCGTGTAAGCGTGAAAACGTGACTCGTGGGTCGCGCGTGGAACACGCACGCGTCTCCGTGACTCACAACACCTACGTTGGTCTGAAATCGCTCAAGGTTTCGGCGTGGTGTAATTCGGCCAAGCGGTTTCGCGCGTCCCACAATTTCAGCTAGAAATTTTTCAGTATCACGCATACTTCACTTCGTTACCCGTAACGTTATACTATTCGTTGGGAAATAGTGCAATCTTCAAATTAGGAAATATTACCAGTGGTCTGTCACCAGTGCTTCCTCGCAATCGAGATTAATATTACTTGTTAATATTAATAATTCTTTTGAATGCACTTTGAATCCACTCCCCTTCATAATATTCATCAAATTTTATTTCAATCGGCCATCGGTACGATGTATTCTGAATTCTATCTCTCGATTCATTCGAATGTTGAAGAAAAGGGAGAAAAGAAATTTAAAAAAGGGAGATTAAATTAAAGGAGAGTCAAATTTGAAAGAAAGGGGGGAAAAGAAGTGAGTAAAAAATTGATTAAGAAAAAGTTTAAATGAATTTATAGCGTCATGATGAAAGACCTTAGATGAACAAAGTTTGTTGCACGTACATGATGATTAAATCAGTGAGACACTGTTGCTAATTAGAGTCCCAATAGCTGTATGCGCAAAGAAAACGGGTTTTGTTTGCTCTAATGATTGGAAACCGAGGCAGTTGGCCACCAGTGCTGGTAAACGTGTGTTTTATATCGCTCATTCTGAAAGTGTGAAAGTGGAGGAAAGCTTTCACGACTAAAGATATGTTCGACAACGATCAAAGTGTCCCTATTTTATCTACAAACCTTGATTTTCGTTGGAATTCTGATTTATTCTCATCGAGTTCAGCACGGATTATTTTGATAAGTGCATTTGCGTGTAAATGTTCCTCTGTTTGAAGCTCAATCCGCCATCTCTCTGCGATTTGAAACTTAATCAGCGTAACTTGCGCGTGCTTTTCGTTCGCGCAAGTACTTTGGTTGTGGATCCGCTTAGTTTCATTTTCTCCCATCTCGAAAATTCCGTTTGATTGTCCATCCAACCGATTTAATTAGCGTAATTGTTCGCCCGCAGAATCCACAGAACTGCAAAATATATAATATGAAAAAAAATACAAGCGTAGTATTTTCTAGAGATTTTGCCTAATAGATTTTCTATCAAGGTTTTTGCATAAAAATGCTTGATTCGTATATTTGTAATTTTAGTGAATTCTGTCGTGTGTGAGAAAGTATATATATTTTTTTTTCAAGAAGAAAAGCAATCTCTCATTCATGTATTTCATAAAAATTACAAATAGATCATTCTTACTAATCTTTTTCTCTCTCTTATCATAATTGAACAAAATTCTACTTGTACGCTAACACCTAACATTCTCTTTCATTCAACTATAAACTCTGTGATTCTGAGCACTTATTCTAACGAGTAAAGGTCGTTCAATTACAAATTTCACCAGCAATATTTCCTCATTATCAATGTTTTTATCATCTAAGCATCTAACGATCACGAGTGCTCTTTTTTCGAAATAATGGTAATCGATGCGGTCTTTCAGTTTATTGGCTTGTTCGAGCCAATCGTTACATCGTTTTACTGAACTCGTGTTCCGTTAGTTGGTTTCTTCCGTAAGAAAGTGTACATCGAACTTGCTGAATGTTCAGACAGAGATTCATCGGACAAAGTGATATCGAGGCATGATTTCGAAAGAGGGTAACGGGGTTAATGAACATCGTTTTGCCTAGGGCGAGCGTTTTATCGACACCGTTTGACTTTCTAGGAGGTATTTCGTTCCTAGTACACGCAAGCAGAGACTCGAGAGACTCGCGTCGACTACGAAAGTAAACGACCTTAAGACCAACACAGCACACACAGGCTGGATCGTAATTATCGCTGGTAGTCCGCTGGTCCAAAAGCGAGAGGCTATGAATAACGAGGTTATTGCTCCAATAGGCGCGGTCTTCACCGTTAAATTTTCGTCCGCATATTTTTACGAGTTTTTTCTTTTTTGCAAACGAAAGACAAACGTGCTCCGGGGAATTCACGTTTTAATATACAGACTTGTTGGAAGAATGTTTGGCTAGGTTTGGCAGATAAACTTGTCGTATTTGGAATAGCCGTGCCATTGGAAAGATTAGTTTCTTAGAATAAATGACGAATTTATAAATATATTCTCCAGAGTTCTTACTTGTTAACAGGTACTGTTTTTTTTCTTCATTGGAAAAAACAGGTAAATTCTCAGAAATAAAGTGTGACAATTAGACGTAGAAATGTAGAAATTAGCTTTAGATTAACTTAGAAGAATTCCTACTTGCTCACACGTAATCTTTTGTTAGGAGGACGTAGGTAGATGAAATTTAATTATAAAATAAATATATTATTAATATTTATATTATTAATAATAATTTTTACAAAAAGAGCACAATTTCCATTTTTTGTATGATTACCTATAGCAATAATAGCTCCTACTCCAGTTTCATTTTTTAGTTCATTCATCAACTTTAGTTACTGCAGGAATTTATTTAATAATTTGATATGAAAATTTATTTAATATTAAATATAAAAATTTTATTTTATTTATTTCAAGAATAACTATATTAATTTCAGGATTAATAGCTAATTTTTGAAATAGATTTTTAAAAAATTATTGCTTTTTCTACGTTAAGTCAATTAGGATTTATATTAAGAATTTTATGTTTAGAATTAAATGATTTGGCATTTTTTTCATTTATTTATTCATGCTGCGAGGTCGTAGAAACGCTTTATCGACAAAAACTGGCAAAAAGATTGTAATATACGTCGAGGAATTAATCTCCATTTGGTTGTATAAACTTTTTCGCCACGACCATGCCCACTTTTTGTTCGTTTAATCAACGAACAGTCAGGGTGAAAGATATTCAAACAGAGAGGAACGAGAATATCTTCAGATTGGTCTCTGGCGTAAAGGGGGGAAGGGGTTCGTTTCCCGCCAATTCTAGGGGCGAGAGCTACTCGTTATCGATTTTACGTCCCGGACCATACTCTCGTGTGCAGACTGACACGAGTGGTCCGTCGGAGTGCGCGTACGAGCTAACAAGATTTACTGTTCGGTGGATTGCACGCAGGTTAAGAACAGAACCGGGGGACGAGATGAAAGACAAAACGAAGCGAGTGAAATTCACCGAGTCGCTGTACATGATCCTGCCACATAACGCCAACGTAAACGCATCGCGAAAACGTGAATTTCACGTTTCGATCTCAGACTTCCCAGGTGTTGAAACACAGGCGAAAAAGTGGCTTCGTAGAAAAGGGGGAGAAGAGAAATTAATTTGAAAAAAAGAAACGATATGCAATCATGGAACGAAGGAAATCTAGAATCGAAATAGAGTGAAGATTACCGAAGTACGTTTCGCTTTTATAGACGTATAACTTGTCGTTTTCAAAGCGGAGGGAATTATTAACCTTCGAAGAGTTTCGAAATTTATCGGAAGAAATTGAGGTCACATCGAGAGGTTTCTTTCATTCGGTTATTCTGCAAGTGTAGTCTTTCTGTGCAAAATAGAATCTTAATGGAAAATTGTTCTAAGTACGATATATTTTATAGAAAACATTACATTTTATATATTTTTTCATGTTACGCGTATCATACAGTTTTGCATTGTAAAAATGCGTAAAAATCCACAGCTGATGACTAGGAGGGGTTATTAATTTGTATATGCGTTTCAATCAATAAATTTTGATACTAATTTTGATACAAATTTTGATTTTATTATTATTTACTATTTTATTAGAATTTGTTATTATTTATTCGAAATTTGTCTTTCTTTCTTAAGATCAAGATTTTCTTTATTTGCTTCTGAAACGATCTATTCACCCGGTATATTTAGATTCTCTTTTGCGTCATAAATCAGTTTGACAGAATTACGGTGTAGAGTTTGCAACACGATGACGTAGTAGACAAGTGGTTACGTCACGTTGGCGACGTCACGGCTGCATTTATTACAGCAGAGGTCGGCGATTCCGGTAGCGCGTAGGTGATAACGAGTGAAATACAGCTGGTCACCGGCGGTTGCAATTGTTTATCGATCCACGTGTTCCCGGACTCGTTCAAGTTCGTACCACGTCGCGACCCTCGCAGGACTCGACATTGTCTGGGGTGGCTTTCAGACGCCTTTGTATAATACCTCGCGAAGGTCTCTTCTGATTTGAAGGAACGATCGATCCCTTAAGAATTTTGCACTCCAGTCTGAAGCACGAAGAATCTTTGTGAGGAAATATTTGAAAGGGCAAAATAAATCGAAAGGATTGTTGGAATGATTAAACAATTGTGAATGGTTGAACATACGATATATTATCGACGAAACGAATCTTTGTTTAGATTTTGTGTCTTTGTAATAATCTGAATTTCAACACTTAGGAGAAGTCGAATGGAAGATAATCTTAAAAAAACAAGGACGTAGCAATTCTGATTCGACTGATTCCACTGTAGTTGGAATCCATTCATTTCTAAAAACGTTGCGTGAAAACGTTTGTCTGGTTGCGCGGCTAAAGCGAAAGGCATTCTTTCAATAACGGTGGACAAAGGTGGCGCCTCGTGAAAAGAAAGTGGCGATCCGTTTGCATAATCGTTCTTGCAATGAAATATGTGTCCATTAAAAAATCAGAGATAGTTCTACAGTCTCGTATCGTAAAGACTGGCGTGTTGTACGCAGCCACCCTTGCCCCGGCTCTTTGTCACCCTCGAGCACGGGTGTAGGGTAAATTTGATGACTCAGGTCGCATTATATGGGGAATGAAATTACGCTTCGTCTCTCTACGGGCACCATTGGAGAAAAGAGGAGAGACGGGCAAACATCTTGAACGTTGAAGTAGCTGTTTTGCTTCAGGGGATCTTTTGCAAAGTGGAATCTCCTCCGCCAGTCGCTTCAACAATATTTCAAGTTATGATTTTATTTCACGTTTCCGTGTCTTCAAAATCGTTCTCACAGAGTTCTTTGAAAGATTCAAAGGGATTGGGAATTTGGTAAATTTGATTAGATATTTTAAATTGTATTATATGTATATGTGTGTGTGTAATAATACTTCGATGAAAATCTTCATTCGATGTCCGGGTTTGGCTGGTATCCGAACAACGTGACGATTACGCGTAATCGTGAGAGACAGTGTTGGGTTTCGAGGATTCGTGTAGAAAGCGTGACCGAAACGAAATCCAACGTGCACGCTCGCATGGAGACACACATAAATTCTTTTGCGCTCATGGTAACAGTCGGTTTGATTGTGGCATTATCGGCACGCGATGCGCATCGCAAAAAAAAAAAAAAAAAAAAAAAACTGTATCAAAGGAATGCCAGTGTTTAAGTAGATCCATCCGTCTGACCATTTTACGCTGCTCCAAATAATTGATTTCATCTACTTTATTGACTATTCATCTATTGCTATATTTTCACTTTATGCGTGTACGTTCGTTGGGAATTTACGATGTTCGACATGTAAGATGAACGAGAAAGAATGTTTCTTCTTCTGTGGGAATTTCTTTCATTTTATTTCTTTCGTTTCGGTCGAACTTATATCGATTTCCAAGGTCTGGAATGGAATTATTATGCCAGATGGTCATTGTGAGATTTTAATGCTTTGAATGCTGTAGTTACGGTAAAAAATATCGTGAGACTTAAATAATATTGACGCAGAATCTCGTTACACAGAATTTTACGTCAATGATGTTGTAGCTGTGACGTATTCAGATATTTTTTCAATAATTGCAGCATAGAGTTATCTATTAATCATCGACACATTCATGATATTTTTTTAAATAAATGTGTTACGATTGTTGATCATGAGCGCGTGTCAACGGTAAAATCGTTGGAATTGAATTACGCGGTAGAAATCAAATTTATCGATTGATGAATCGATAAATGCCGGGTTCTCCGATGGTAATGTCATGCATCGACTTTACCGTAGCGTGTGACACGTATCAGTGCCGTATATAGTTGAAATCTAGAGACTACGATGCATGAAATCATTTCTTTTATTTTCTGTTTTCAACTTTATTGAAACTAATTACAAAACATTCTTATTAAAATTATTTACATTCTTTATTAAAATTTGCA